TTATGTTCATACTAACAGCACCACTAAATCTGGATATTTACAAAAATTGGGTGACTCATTATTTTCGTTACATCCAAAAAAAAAAAAAACCTAGAAGGAATTCCTCCTCGAACTAACTGTTGGACAACTGAAGAAGCTGAGAAAGGCTAACCCAATTGGATGGCCAATAGATACAGCACCACCATGTGGATTCACTCGAGATGGATGGATGTCCAACTTCCTCATCACTGCCAGCACTACAGCTGCAAACGCTTCGTTAATCTCGAAAACTGCAATATCTTCTTGCTTCAGTTTTGTTGCTTTGAGAAGCTGAAAAATTTTCGCCTTTATTATCAGCAGCCACTGAATATGCCAGCATTCGGTTGAAATTACTTTATAATTAGGATTTATTTATACGTCCTTGTTGACTAGGCATTTTGTGGGTGGCCTACAAACACTGATTTTCGGGAGATAGCGGCGACACAGTGAGGAAGATTACCAAATGCTTTGCTGCGAAAATTGTTGAAGCTGCAGAAGTACGTGGTGACCTTTTCTGAAAACGAAACAAACGCCGGGAACCTCTGGTCAACACACGAAGCAATATCAGTCAAACCAGCTGGCAAAATCGACAGAGGATTACTGAAAGACTAAATTAACAAGTCCGAGATACCAAAATATCATCAGCTGAGATTTCCTGGTCCATGTGAAATTTACACTTTGTTCGGTAATGCTGTGCTTCCAAATGATCCTTTTCTCATCAAATTTGCAATAAATCTTTTGAAAAAAAAAAGAAAAAAAAACAAACAGTAAAAACTGCACGGGTTGCCTGAGATTTCTAACCAGAATCACATTATCAACCTTGACGTAACGCCCAATGAAGTGGAAAGTTTGTGCAGAAGACTTACATTTGGAATGACGAGTGCCGGCGCGATCGGGAAATCCACGGGATTCGTCGCAACATCACTGAATGCGAGGATTCGTGCCAGCGGTCTTAGGCCGGTGCGCTCAGCATTTTCGGCTGTTGTGAGCACCACTGCTGCAGCGCCATCGCTCAGCGTTGAAGCGTTCCCGGCCGTAATCGTACCATTCTCTAAAACAACTCACAGAAACAAGGACTGTAAATTGCAAGCTATGAAACAACTCCCAACGCCACTACAAACAGTAACATGAAAGGTAGCAAAATTAAAATAGCATAAAACTGGATTAAACAGCTAAACAAGAATGTTTCCGTCCTTAAAATCATATACATCCTTGCTGAGCACCACGACTGGACTTCGTCAGTACGATGCCTGCCAGTAAAATTCGTCCAGCGAGTGAGTACGCACTGTCAGTAAAACTCGTCCAGCAGATCAGTGCGCAAAAGATTTCACACGCACTAATGGAGATATCGAAGAACCACAGGAAGAACGATAACCAGTAACACCACTGCGATCACCCACATACTCGAAGGTGTGCGCATTTTGTAGCATCGCCCAAGGCACGCTTGTGGACCAGGTTTCAGCACGAAAGGAGTTCGATCTCGCGAAAGGTA